GTATGATTTTCATTCCACTTCTCACGTGTGCACCACTTTGTGTTGGTCTTTCACGTGGAATTCCTGTGAAATTGATTCATGTTTGTGGCTGTGGATGTGACAAAATGTGGCAAAGATCAAGGGGATCGACTACTTTTGCAAGCCACTGTAGATGGCAGTGATGGCCGTGGTTGCTCTAACAGCAATTTCCCAACTTTTGGAATAATTGTTCATCTGACTAAAACAGTCTGCAGATATTCACTCTTTTCCAAAAAGAACATTCTCCAGGAGAATTAAATAAACAAAAAAAAAAATTAGATCCAGAAATCAGGTGAGTCATTTTAATTTACATTAGACACAATGAAATTTCCCAAGAAACAAAAGGAGAAAATATAAATCTTAAAACAAGAATATAAAAGAAAAAGAAGAAGAATGAAAGCTTGAATGCTTGAAAATGGTGATTGAAAATTGAACAGAAAATGTATAAACTCATTGGGGTTTTTTCCAGTTCAGAAAGATTAAGCAGGACAGGTGGACTAAAGAATGATACCCAGAACTAATTGATACACTGTCCCAAAATAAACTGTGTGGATGATGTGGTGAATGAATACCAGGAGTAAGAGCAGATTAGCAACAGCTCTCTAAATATAGTTATCTGGTTAATCTCTAAAGATTTATTTACATCATGTTTTTTTTTTTACCTTGGCTAATGACTACCACTGTTTGGAATAGATGCATTGTTGAGTCATGACCAGGTTTATTTTAACTGGATACACCAAATGTTCCTTTTTATATATATAATTTACAATTGTGCTATTTTAACCCTTTGTTATGGTGCCTGAATGATTGAATGCTATTCTGAGGCATGTGTTTTATAAAGCACATTGAAATGTTTGGTTTGATAAAGTTTATACAAATATAACAATGCTATTTGTTTTTATCCCCATAAATAAGAATTTACCTCATAATAATTCTAACAATAATGCCACACTGGAAACGTGGAAGTGGTGTCACTGTTATGGATAAACTATGGCATTAAAAATAAAATGTGTCAGTAAGATAACATGTCCTATTTTTTTTTTTAATGATTGAGAAGGTCTATGAAAACTCATCAAGTGACAGAGAGAAAAGGTTGTGCCCCTTTAGTACCCTTCATGGCTTCCTGTTAAGTTCAATTTTAATTTTAAAATTCTTTTTTTGGTTTTTAAATCTCTTAATGGTGTTGCCCCTTCTTATTTGTCTGAGGTGCTTCACCCTCACATGCCGTCACATGTTCCTCAGCTAACCAGATGCTTTTGACTGTTCTGAAGACATTTAATAAATCCTGAGGAGACAGAGCCTTTGCAGCTTCGGCTCCTAAAATGTGGAATGAGCTTCCTCTGGAGGTCAGACAGGCTCAATCGCTTCTTTTCTCCTTGACTTTTAACCCAGTGTGAGTTGTTATCTGTCTGAAACTTTTACTCTTCATATGTAGCTGTACTGATTTATGGCTTAATTCTTGTTTTCTTTTACAGCACTTTGAACAGCCGTTATGTTGTTTTAAAGTGGTTTAGAAATATAGTGAAAGTGGAAGGTAAAAGATGAGTGTGTTTCTGGACTGCCTTGAAGAAAGATTTTTTTATTGATATTTTATTTATTTTTCGTAAAAAAAAAACAGTGTCCAGGTCTACAAAAGAGACAAAAAATGTTCCCAAAATCACTTTTTTAACCTTTTCCCTGGTTAAATAGAAATAATAAAAGCATAAATAAATAAATAAATGTAAGGCAGTGATTCTCAAACTTCTCACAATGAGTACCACCTCATAAAATATATAGCTCTTGTAGTACCACCCTCATGACCGATATTAAAGTACAGTAGTATAGGCCCATTTACAGTGTTGGGAAGGTTACTTTTAAACTGTATTCCACTACAGATTACACAATACATGCCCTCGTATTGTTTTCGGAGGAAAACACGAACACGGTGTACAGTCGAGTCTTAATAGCTTACTTACAGCTGGGCTCGTCAGGCTCTCTTCTTGGCTGCAGTGGTTATTATTATATTTACATGCTTCCAGCTCCCGTTTTTGCTCGATGACAGCTCGTACTTTTCCTTTTTCTCCCTCCCTCGCTCACAGAGACATAACGTGTATGACAGTTCTCCCTGCAGCATGGACTACACTGCCCATGAGGCTATATTCTTTAGAGCAATGCCTGTAACACTCTGCCTATTGCCTTCATATTAAATAATATTTTGAACAATAATTAAAAAAATATTTCCTCACATCATTTTGCGGGCCGCAAATAGATTTGAGACACAGGCATTAGAGCCTCGTAATGTGTGTTTTGTTTGGGTTTCCACTGGCGTGGAATTACCAAAAATACAGAGGGCATAGTATAACACATGAAACAGGAAAAGACCATTTATTTCAGCAAAGTAACCGTATTCTGAATACCACCTTTTTAAACAGTAACTGTAACTGAATACAGTTACTCATATTTTGTATTTTAAATACGCTGGTACGTTTATTCCGTTACTCCCCAACACTGTATATTTAACACCACATAAAGTTAACACGATTTTATTTCTTATATGAATGTTATTTATTTTAACTGTCATAAACAGGATGTGACGAGTGATAATAACAACAACTGTACTGCATTAAAACATTTGCATCTTTAAGTAATGACCTGATAAACCCTGCTTCTGGGTCCAAACTACTCTGCATTTATCAACGCTGTTATGTTTTTCACATGTTTTAATTACTGCTCCCAGTGTTAATGCATTAACCACAATGAACCTATCTGGAGTGGACAGTGATTAAAAATCCCTGAAATGCTTCTGTCAACGTATTTCAGGAAGTTTGTCCATTCTGCCCTCGAGATGGGTTAAAGGGGTTAAAGATTTTAATCACGTTAATCTTGGTTAACACACATGTTACCACTGTCAGGACTAGTTTTAATGCTTTGTATCTTGTTCGGTTTAATCTCATGAAAAGCACCTAAAAACAGTCAGTGATCACTGTCAGCCTCTCTCTGTTATTATCTCCACTGTTCACTTTAAAGCACAGTTTTTAAAACCCTTAGGATGTAACTACAGCCCAGCCCATGCAGCAGCACATTAACGACTAACTTCGTATTGTGGATGGATTATCTCAGTTTTTCTCCTGACTGATGTTTGGTCCTTTTACAGCATCCTGCCATGCGATTGCATTTGTCCCTAACCACCAGGAACCCTCACCTTAACTTTTATTGAGAGGAAAAAATTTCATTCATCCTCCATCTTCACTGTGTTTATGTTATGCTAACATAGCTGTGTTGCTCGCCGCCGCATAGAACATTATTATATTTTCTCAGTCAGAACATGCTATATTTTTTAATCTTAAAAAAAACTTTGGAGGCTTCCCTTGTACTACTAGAGGACGCCCACGTACCACAGTTTGAGAATCACTTTCCTACTGTGTCCTTGTGATAAGCTGAAAGAGGAGGCTTATCCATGTTTATGATCAAACAGCTGATTCTAAACTAAGCCTTCAGATCAAACTGATTGATCAGCCATCAGAGGAGTCGGATCAATGGAGCTGCTTCTGTTCCTGATGTCCCCTGTTTGATCCTGGACCTGAACTCTCCCTGCAGAGGAGACACAACACAGTCAGACACACACACAAATATCTTAGTGGAGCCATCTACTTGACAAAATGTTTTCCGTAGCCGCTTACCCTAACCATCTAAAAAGATTGACTAAATCTAACCATAACCTAACTTTAACCTTGCCCACATTTTGAGCCTCAAAAATGCCTTCAAACTCGTGGGGTGTTGCCAAAACAGACTGTTGGTCCTCACAAGTAAGAGAAAGAGAAAGAGAAAACCTATATTTTCATACTGACCTTTGACCTTTAGTAATACTGTAGTCTCTCTCAAGATGTTTCTGTTTTTACTGTAGATTATACATTCATACTCTCCACTGTCTCTCTCTGTGGGCTGTTTCAGGGTCAGACTGAGGTCTCCAGTTTTCAGCAGGTCGTCATTCAGCTTTGTTCGGTCTCTGTAAACCTGGTGCTGTTTGTGAGGCCGGTCAGAGCCGTTCTCATACATGTGGACGATCAGTGATGGATCCAATTCAATATGTCTCCACACTATTTCAGCATCTTCAGGCAGGTTTTCTGTGGTTCTGAAGGGCAGCAGGACAAATTCGGCCCCCTCCTCCACCTCCACCAGACAGTCTGAAGGAAAACCACATCATGAGCTGCACAGACAGAAGTGAATCTACAAGGCAGGTTTTCAGTTGGTTGATGATAATGGTTGAATTTCAATCACACAAACAGAAATATTTTCTGACATGCACAATCATACTGACTCGTCACTATCAGCAGCACCGTTTTCTTCCTCTTGATCCTCTTGTCCTTGACACTGCAGATGTATTTTCCCGTGTCTCTGTCTGAGGGTTTCTTCAGGGTCAGACTGAGGTCTCCAGTCATCTGTGAGTTTGCTTCCATCCTCGTTCGTTCTCTGTAGACCTGGTGCTGTTTGCCCCGCTGGTCAGAGCCCTGCTCATATTTGTGGACCGTAATTGGTGGTTCAGGTTCATATCGCCACCACTCCACTTCAGCACTGGACAGGTTACCTGTGGTTTTGAAGGGCAGCTGGACAGACTCCGCCCCCTCCTCCACCTCCACCCGACACACTGAAAGAACAAGGTCAGTGAGGTCTTTACTGAACCTTACAATATAAAACTCATTGAAGCGACTGTGAACTGACACTACAAACAAAATGTAATTTAAGATATACAGGTGGTAATAATCAGGGGCAAGATTTGTCTACTCAGTCTAAGGAGCTTGGAAAGAAAAGCGTCTGGACTTCTTTAAGTTGCTTTAAGACGTTTCACCTCTCATCCAAGAAGCTTCTTCAGTTCTAAGGTCAAATGGTGGAGAGTCCCAGATTTAAACCCAGTGGGAGTTTCCCCCAAAGAGAGACAAAGGACCCCCTGATGATCCTCTATCTAATCACATGAGCCAAGGTGTGAAAACGGATGTGGGTCACAATCAGCCAGGGTTTCGGGTGAGCTCATTGTGAAACCTGGCCCCACCCTATCATGTGATTTCCTGAGGTCAGATGGCCCAGGATGTGAGTGGGCATTAAGGCGTCTGGGGAGGGAACTCAAAACTGGATTATAGATGGCAGATGGTTGGTGTCGTAAACCACCACCGTTCAAGAGTTTTGAGAACCCTTCCCAGATGCCAGCACTGTCAGTAGCAGGAGCAGCAGCAACACCAACATTGTACCCATCAGGTAAAGCATAGGCTACCTTCAAGCTGTAGAAAAAGCTCTCCTAAATCTAACATGCAATGGTGTTTGCTGTAGTGAGTGATTGTGACAGGAGAACTGAAAGCAGCTGAAACCTATGTTGTGAACCAAATATGTGACTGTGGAGTTAAAAATAAAACATCCTTAAAGAATCTGTCAGTCTTTCTTGATAAGCAAAGCTGTTATTTGGTTTCTTACCTTTGACCTGAACCTTCATTTGTTTCTTCATGAGAATGTTTCCCTCCCACTCAAATCATGCCAGAGGCTTTTATTTTGAAGTTAGAATCAAGAGAAATAAACGAAAAACAATTGCAACACATTTAGATGAGCTTGCAAAGTCTCTCGACAGATATTTTCCTACAAGAGATTCAGCACGGGTGAGACAGCCGTTCACATTTGCTGTTGAGACAGCAGATGTCGATGATGAATACCTTGACGAAATCATTGAAGTTCAGCAGAGCCAGGTTCAACAGCAACTCTTCAGAACAACAACGCTCTCAACGTTTTGGTGTCGACAAATGGACACATATGTAGTTATTGCTAAGGAAGCCCTGGATTTTTTTTATACGATTTGTTACAACATATCTTTGCGAGCAATCCTTTTCGACAATGCTGGACATAAAAACGAAGAAAAGGAAAAGACTTTACTGTGAAAATGACATGAGAGTGGCACTTGCCAAGGTGAAGCCACGCATATCTGAACTGGTCTCTCAAAGGCAGAAGTCACACTGATTTGCAGTATGTACATTTGTATGTAATTTGCTGTAAGTTCGTGCATTGTGTTGGTTCTGTTCTTTGAACAAGGTGATGTTCACGCACGGGTCATTTTGTGCACCAGTAAAAAACATATCTATGTCTTGAATATGAAAAAAAAATCATATTTTATTTTTATTTTTTATTTTTATTTTATTTTTCACTACAGAGGGGTTCGGTGAATGCGCATATGAAACTGGTGGGTTCGGTACCTCCAACAAGGTTAATAACCACTGATTTAAACACACAGTTGTGCTGCCTGACATTCTTGGCTTTTAGTCAAAACTTAAAAGAATTTAAATTTAAACTTAAAATAGATTCAAACTAAAAGCTTTTAGAGAATAAACTCCTACATGACCTTTGACCTGTATCTACAGCACTGACCTCTGACTTTCAGCTTCACTTGTTTCTTCAGCAGGATGTTTCCCTCCCTGCTGTAGACGGTGCAGGTGTAGGTGTAGTGATCCCAGTCTGTGGGGTGTTTCAGGGTCAGACTGAGGTCTCCAGATTTCAGCAGGTCTTCATTCATCTTCGTTCGGTCTCTGTAAAACTGGTCCTGTTCTTTAATCTGGTCAGAGCCGTTCTCATACACGTGGACCTTCCTGGTTCGTATGTAAATACAAGTCCACTCCACTTTAGCATCTTCAGGCAGGCGAAGTCTGGTTTTGCAGGGCAGCTGTACAGACTCCACCCCATCCTTCACCTCTACACAGGGGACTGAGAGGACAACAAAGCACAATGAGTTGTACAGCCAGTGCAGCAGCGTGAAGTTAAACCTTTTCAGTGAAAACATGTTTGACCAATATGTTCCTTTGCTGCACAGTACAGAGTACAGTACAGTGGTGTCCAATCAGCAGCAGAGCTGACTCTTTACCAGACTTTTTTGTGTCAAATGTACAGAATCAAATCCTTTGTTTGTTTCTGCAGAGTAAAGTTTTTATGTTCATCCTTCAAGGTTTAGATTATTTCTTAGAATCTTTCAAAGAAACTGTAGAAGTTACTAGACTATGATTCAACCACACAGACAGCTGGTCACTTGATCTGCTGTCTGAATGCTCAGCTTGTTCTCAAAATGAACTTAAAGAAACGTCTGTTGTGGTTGTTAGGTCTGCACTCGCAGGCCTCGCTAGCTCAGAGACTTATCCCGATGAACAAAGCAAGACAATCAAACCTCTATGGATTTTTACTTGCACAAGTGTGGTAATCTCAGAGCTGCAAGCTCTGCACCCAAACTCAGTCAACTTCAACTCCAGCCTTTCCTCGCAGCCTTTTATTAAATGAGAACTTGTAAAACCCGTATGATGTGTTGTAAGAGCTAAGGCACTGTGTGTGTGTAAATGTTCGTGCGTGTGTGTCTGTATACGTGACTTCCTGTCAACCATAATATTCTATTAGAGCGATTAGAACATGCTGTAGGTATTACAGGTACTGCTCTGCAGTGGTTTGTATCATATCTATCTAATAGACTAAAGAAAAAAAAGCTTTGTAACTATCCCAACTAGAGAAGACTGTGTTTCTACAACACTGCTTTCCTCCCCGAGGTCTGCAAAGCCGTTTAAAAGCCCCTTTGAGGTCCCTGCGCAATCACATAAACCTTTGATAAAAAATTAACTGAACTCAGACATGCACAGAACATTTTCCTTCATTGTGTGGTTGAACTTAGCGCAGCTGTGGGGTTTGTTTCTATTGGTTGCTGAAGGCACATCACAGCACACAGCGGTCAAACTTTGACCCCTACATGTGCGTGTACTCATCACTTGTGCACTTTAGCTGCACTTTGCTTGGCGCAGTGGGAAAACTGATGGTAGAAAGACAAACAAGTAACAACAGAAGCCAGCTGCAGCAAAAACCTTCAGGCTGTGGCACAAATATTAAAAGCAATCAATATTTTAACATTTGTGTTAGCTTGTCCAGAGCCTTAGAAAACTGTTTCCTATTTACACAAATGGCTGTTATTCCTAACCAGTTAAATGCTACATTTCTGTCAAACCCCTTCAATTAACCTCCAGAGGCCCAATGTCTTTTGATCTCTACATGCTTTATGGGTTTGGCCTGTGTGAGCGAATAAAGGCTGGTGAGTATAAAAACTGATCTTTGTAGTAGCAGAATTATTTCTCTAATATGAGGACAGGGGCTAGATTCTGCAAAATTCAATAAAGTCAGCATTGCTTATCAAAGTATAAATCCGTATTAATTAGCATAAAGTCAAAGGTGCAGAAAAGTTCCCATATGAGGATGCAGATGTGGGTCGCAGATCTGGTGGATAAAGTTGAAGGTGTGTACTTCAATAACATCTTGATAGTTTCATTTAAAATCACTTTTGGTGGTTTACAGACAAAGTGTCCAAAAACGTAGGGACCTTCTGTATCTGCAGCTCACTCATAAAACCCTGTTCACCATAGTAACCACAGTCACGTTATTGATGACAGGCTCTTGTTACCGAACTTCACCATTTCTATTAATCCTATACTGTAAACCTTTGACCTGTATCTACAGCTCTGACCTTTGACTTTCAGCTTCACTTGCTTCTTCAGCAGGATGCTTCCAAGGATGTTGCTGACGGTGCAGGTGTATGTGTCCGTGTCTTTGTCTGTGGGGTACTTCAGAGTCAGACTGAGGTTGGCAACTGTCAGCTGTTTTCTCTTCATCTCGGTTCGGTGTGTATATAACCAGTGTTGTTGTTGTTGAGGCTGGTCAGAGTCACTTTGCTGCACATGGACTATCCTTTTAAAGCTGTCAATCCACATCACTGTAGCGTCTTCAGGCAGGTGAACTGCTGTTATAAAGGGAAGTTCAACAGACTCCACCCCTGAATCCACCTTCACCTGCGGGACTGAGAGGACAACAAACATCATCATCAGCTGCACAGGAAGTCTTTAAGATGCTAAAACAGGATGTCCAAAAAACTCCTTGAAAAGCCTTCAGTTAATCCAAAATGCTGCAGCAAGAGTCCTGACAGGGACTAGAAAGAGAGAGCAGATTTCTCCTGTATTGGCTTCCTGTTAAATCCAGAATTCAAAATCCTGCTCCTCACATACAAGGTCTTAAATAATCAGGATCTTATCTTAATGACCTTGTAGTACCATATCACCCTATTAGAGCACTTCGCTCTCGCTCTGCAGGCCTACTTGTTGTTCCTAGAGTATTTAAAAGTAGAATGGGAGGGAGAGCCTTCAGTTTTCAGGCCCCTCTTCTGTGGAACCAGCTTCCAGTTTGGATTCAGGAGACAGACACTATCTCTACTTTTAAGATTAGGCTTCAAACTTTCCTTTTTGCTAAAGCATATAGTTAGGGCTGGACCAGGTGACCCTGAATCCTCCCTTAGTTATGCTGCAATAGACGTAGGCTGCCGGGGATTCCCATGATGCATTGAATTTTTCCTTTCCAGTCACCTTTCTCACTCACTATGTATTAACAGACCTCTCTGCACTGAATCATATCTATTATTAACCTCTGTCTCTCTTCCACAGCATGTCTTTATCCTGTCTTCCTTCTCTCACCCCAACCAATCACAGCAGATGGCCCCGCCCCTCCCTGAGCCTGGTTCTGCTGGAGGTTTCTTCCTGTTAAAAGGGAGTTTTTCCTTCCCACTGTCACCAAAGTGCTTGTTCATAGGGGGTCATATGATTGTTGGGTTTTTCTCTGTATCTATTATTGTGCAATCTACTGTACAATATAAAGCACCTTGAGGTGACTGTTGTTGTGATTTGGCGCATTGAATTGAATTAACCTTTGGCATGTGTCTGCTTGAGTGGAGCAGGAAGTGATTTAAATAGTTACTGTGTATTTTTAGTGTTGTTCCTGAAAACATTTGTCTTATTTTGTGATTATGGTATCTCTGCCTGTTGGTTTAGGTTGGAATCATATTTTTTCTCTTCTCTGTGGGGTTTTATTCAGCTTGTACTGGTGTAACTGTAATCATAGGTGAAGCTCATTGGACTTTATATGTATTCCATTTATCATTCATCCTAGGTACCGAAGTGACACAGCACCACACAAAAGCCCCTCATGTCTTTATATCTTGGGAAATTGGGAAATCGGTGGAGCGATTTATTGAAATATGTGCAAAGTATTTAAGGCAAAAACAGACTATCTTGAATGTCTTGATCTTGAAGGTCAATATTTGACATTTTTGATATTTTTGCCATTTTTACATGACCACCTTTATTCTTTAGCACAGTCTGAACTGTGTTAGGCAGCTTTTTGCAGTGTTCAGGAGTAGTTCTCCAGGACTTTTGAAGGACATTGTGATTTAAAAAAAAAATCAAGATATGCTTTTCCTGCACTGGCAGCGAGTTTGGGATTCAGTTCTTCTGTATCAAGAATGGCTACCTGACAGCTGCCCTTCCATTGAGACCATTTCTGATGATGCTTTAATGGACGACTGAAAGAAAAAAAACATTTTTTGGTATTTCTACTTATGTATTACAGCTTCCAAAATCACAGCATTCTTAGATAGCTGGAAACAGGACAGAAGATCAAGTGTTTTAATGTCTTCAAGAGTTTTTTGGGGTTTTTTTTGGCAAGTTGTGCTGCTGTGTCTGCCTTTTTATGACAGGCACAACTCCCAGTACCCCCCACTGCCCATGGCCTTGAATAACAACAATAAAAGCAGAGTTTCTCTGAAAATACAAACAGTAAACTTAAAATGAGTGATGCTTGTTTCATGATGCTCCAGATGTTCTAAGCTAGTAAAAGCTTTGAACTGAAAGCAGACCAGTTCAGGACCTGAACTCTTCCCTGCTATTTTATCAGACGCTGTTTAGTATGATGTTACTGAAATATGTAAGGCCTTCACTTAAGAAGACATCGTATCAATTGGAGCATTTGTTGTTGTAAAACCTGTAAATACCTTTGAGCACCTTTCCAGATGTGGAAGCACTATTACATACCATCAGAGATCAGGTCTTTTATGTGAGCTCTAATAACAAGTCAGATGCCTCCTTTTGAGGATGCAGTGTCCATGTTGTCCCAATAATCCTAAAATTTAATCCGTCTGACCACAGAACAGTTTGCCACTTTTTACTGACATTTGCCCCAAAGAAGAACAGCAGTGTCTCTGGATCATGTTCACATGCGCTGTTTTCTTTGCACGATACAGCTTTAACCTCTATGTGTGCATGGCATAGGCAATTGTGTTGCAGTAATATCTGTAAATGTTTCAAAGCTCATGAACTGCCTGAGGGCACAGGACTGATTTTCAGCCTAGTTGCTGTGCACAGAGATTGCTCCTGATTCTTTGAAACCTTTGACGATATTATGTGCCGTAAATGATGAGATATTTATAGGTTTCAGAATTCTGTCTTGAGGAACATTGCAATTATTTAGTAATTGTTTTTGCAAACTCTGAACATCTTTACTTCGGGTAACTCTGCCTCTCCTAATACTCAACAATGTTATTGACCTGTTGCCAATTAGCCTAATTCAGTTAAATGTTAGTTAAATAATTATACGGATGTTTCATTTTTTGCTTTTTGTTGCTGCAACTTTTTGGAAAATTGTTACTGCCATCGAATTCAAAACTTTATTAAAATTGTACATTTTTTCAGGTTGCTGGTTCCCTTAAGAACATGGCTGGATAAATTTGAGGTCAAGATCACTAACCACCATCATTTAAAATTGGAAATGTGACCACATCACACATGGGGTCACATCACTTACCTTTCACAAAATAGTGTCTGAAGTACATGCCTCCACCCACAATTAAGAATGCAGCCAGATTCATGAAAACCAGGAGAACTGTGACCCTGCTGCGACCTAACAACAAAACTGTGAACAAAAACAGGAAAATTGTGTGATGTTAAAATAATGCTGCAGAATCTCTAACGCTGGACATGATTTTTCATTTGTTTGCACTGACCTCCACCTGTGGCCCTCTGGACCTGCAGCTGCACTGTTGTCTCACCCTGTTCATGTCCAGACTTGCGGGCGGTGCAGGTGTAGTTGCCACTATCAGACAGTTGAAGATTTTTCAGAGTGAGGCTGAGGTTTCCAGTTTCCAGAGCATCAGTATTCATGGACGTTCGGCCGCTGTAATGCTGGTTTTGGTTCTGAAGGTTATCACCTTCCGGTTCACGCAGGTGAACTGTGGGTGGGTTGAGGTCGGACCGGCTCCACACAACTGCGCATTCTTTCACATTCACACTGAGAAACTTACATGGCAGCAGGACAAACTCTGCTCCCTCCTGCACCTTCACACCTGAGGCATGCTGGGAAACTGTGAGGACAGGAAGAGTTTAAACCTGAAATCATTTCCACACTTTATTATGACAGCAGGAAACTTACAGGCTGAAGTAGATACCACAGTCACAATACAGCAGTTCCAGTGATGCACACCGGCTGATTTCATGAAATCATGTTGATTCAGTGTTTTTTTTATTTGTTTAGATAAGTAAGGACATTATTCCTGAGACATGACCAAAGTGGCTGCTGTTTCATAACTGTGACAGCATGTGGCAGTTGAGACCTCACCTTGTTTATGAATGCACACAAACCTGTCTGACTGTCTGTGTCTCTGTGTGTCTCTGCAAGTGTGATATTAATGGAGCTTGAATCGTGAGGACAGAGGCAGATTTTCTTACCGTGCAGGAGGATCACAAACACCACCAGGGTCTTCATCTTTCTGTAAAAACAGCAAATAGCTAAAAGTTTTCCTTCAGTCTGCTTCTGCCTGAGGAAATCAGCAGTAAATCCACAGACATAATCCACCTGCTCCTCACCTTACATGAACACACCTTCAGTTTTTTTCATTCAGGAAGAGGAAACACTTGTTCAGAGGGAGGAAGGGACTGTTCACGTACCTCTAGCCAGTAAAGACGACGACACAAGAAACAGAAGAAGCATTCAGTCAAAAGAAAAGAAACTAACAGTCAGAATCAGTTTAGTAAGTCTGTAAGCAAAACTTTTAATCATCACAGACTAAAGTGAAATATTATCTCTTCGTTTCCTCGTATACTTCCACATATGATAAATGTGAGTACAGAACATAATAATAATAATAATAATAATAATGATGATATTAATATTAATATTAATCATAATATTAACATTAATATTAATATTAATCATAATCATCATCATCATAATCATCATCATCATCATCATAGTTTTATTGCTGTCTACCAGCAGCAGCTTCACAGCCCACCAGGGGGCCCACACACTGTTATTTACAGACTACATGAAAGGCTGGTGGTGAAATGTGAGTATATTCAGTGACAGACAGAAGCTGAGCAGGTAACACTTTCTAATGAAAACATAATAACCAATGCTGGTTATTTATATAATATAACTAATTCAACTTTGTACTGCTCATAAAACCAAGAGTACGGGTTTAAAATACTTACCCAAACAGCAGCCGTCACTATAAAGTTAAGAAAATACAGATGCGAGCAACAGTTAACTTTATAATAATAATAGCTAACTTCAATTCAGCAATAAACAATATTATTATTATCATTAGAAAAGAACAGGAGTGATGTACTGGTAACACAGTGTAAGAGGAACAGTATTTGGAATATTAGTAGTTAATAATTATATTTTAGTCAAGGCCAAGTATTACCCTTCCACATCTAACAGTGATGATATATTAGTTTAGGATTAACAAATATTGTAGTTTGTATTCTTTATTTGCATTTTAGAGGTTTAAATAACAATATTTATTCAGTTTTCTGTGGAAAAGGCAAAGAGGGAAGTGCACATCTCGTTCAGTAACTCTAAAAGAATATGTTTCCTCTGTGTTGCTGTGAAAATCACTCATTCAGTTCAGCAGCGCAGCGTGCCAAGCTGATGATGTTAAGAGGGAAGTAGTGAAGGTGATGATGTCGCTCTGCTGTCAGTCATCATCCCGACAACATGAAGACTTCATCTGCTCCTCTGTGAGTCACTGAAATCTGATCTTTTTCATCGATTCATTGATAGCAGCTCTAATAAACACTCTTGCATGCTCTCACTCACTGACTGCATGTTTTAGGTGAGAGGATCCGTTCACTCTTCTTCTGTTGTATCACAGGTTTCATCTGAGAGCAGTCTGTGACATTTGATTGGAGCCAGGAAGAAATATTATTGGCTTATAATGAATATCACAAGTTTATTTTATTTTAGAAGTTCCAGACCTTCTGCAGTTTATTCTGGAGTAATGCATTAATAACGTCCACCATGTAATCTGGACTGTCATAATAAATTGAGGCCTCATGCCCAGTTAGTGTCTGTAACATGAAGTCAGATGACCTCTTTTCATCAAACATGCAGGGTCAGGAAACCACAGCTGCTGGCTGCATGTGCCACAGATTCTTCTGCCTGTTTTATAATCTTCACTTCCTCTATTAGAAGCACATTTTCCACAGTGAGTCAAACCAAAGAAATGGAGACTGTTTTTGGTAAAATCAGGTTTCTTTTTGCATGTTTGGTTATTTTTCTGGTGCTGAGTTCTAAAAAGCAGCAAAGTGCAATTTAGCCCTAAACTTGTAAATAAAAACCACTTTAAGAGATTTTGATGCTCAATCATTCAGGTCAGTCTCCAAAAGTTGATTCTGTTCATCTGCACGTAGCGTTTTCAGTCAGAGAAACGTTTCATCATCAGGTGACTTCTTCAGTCTCAGCTGACTGCAGCTTTCAATCTTATAAACAGGACATTTGTACAATGACTGAAACCAGCCTACTGAAGGAACAATGGGCTGTGAGGTCAGTTCCTTAATCTTAATTATGCAAATTCTCATGACCATTGATCAACAACCACTGACCAAAGTACCATTCACAAAGAGTTGGGGAATGGCAACAACATTAACATTTTTCCATCAAGGGTAGGTACACAGTTTTGCTAAAGCAGAAAGACTATCATGAGAATATTTTGTCCCTGCTCAGTGATGAAAATACTTATGAGCCCCTGACCTCATACCACAGGCTATACCAAGGGGAACCTACACCAACTCTGTATGGCTTACTGAAGATACATAAACAACCTCATAAACAACCTGACCTCAGCCTCAGCAACAGGACCACTCTCAGCACCGACCAAGAGTGTTTGAACTGTGTCTTCATTCCACCTACTTCACATACAAGGGTCAGTCCTACAGGCAGAAACATGGGTGTGCCATGGGCTCCCAGTTTCACCCATCGTGGCCAATTTGTACATGGAAGAAGTGGAAAAGAGGGCTTTGCTATCCTACCCTGGAACACTAATAATAATGGATTGGATTTATATAGCGCTTTTCAAGGCACCCAAAGCGCTTTACAATGCCATTATTCATTCACTCTCACATTCACACACTGGTGGAGGCAGCTACAGTTGTAGCCACAGCTGCCCTGGGGCAGACTGACAGAAGCGAGGCTGCCATATCGCGCCATTGGCCCTCAGCTATGTGGATGACACCTGGGTGAAAATCAAAGGCCAACCGCTGCCTAAGCGAAAACCTGTAGTGATCCCACATGTGTCAGGAGTATCGGAGTAGCTGAGACGCATTTTTTCTAAACACCACATCTCTGTGGCTCTGTTAAAGAGCTCCTCAATACACTACTTGTACTTCAGCTTGGCCTCTTTGATGACCAGAGTCACTGTGCCCCTTTGTAAGCCTGTAAGCCCCCAAATTTGAGACAGTGGTGACAACAGACCAGAAAAAGTAGCTGCATATATCATTCATTAGCTCCCAAACTGACGGGTTATGGACTGAAACAGTGAGGGTTACCGTGAACATGACTCATGCAGTTTATTAGGGAAGCAGCTCAGCCTCGCTCTGCACAAGCAGTGTCACAAGCTGATGGTGTTAACAGGGAAGTGGTGAAGCTGAAGGTGTCACTCTGCTGTCAATCGTCTGACAACATGAAGACTTCAGGTGTGTCTCTGCTCCTCGGTGAGTCAAACACTGAAAAACTTTTCATGCTTACTTTCAGTCATATATTCATTTATCACCGCTTCATCACACAATAAAGTGGGAAAACACATTTTCAGCAGGAGGAAGCTTTTGCTGAGGGTGGATGGATCCCCAAATGAAGTTTGTTGGCTCTGCTTAAAGTTTGTTTTATTTAGGAGAGAGGAAGAGTTCGCTCTTTTTCTGTTGTCTGTCTTCTAGTAGGGCTAAAGTAATTTAATTAAAAGTCATTGAAAATAGACGGTGATGCAGCTCACACTTTAACTCATCTAATGAAATAAATTCTTTCACACAAGTGTGAAGCAGGAAAGTGTGCTTACATCATGACTGGATACAAATGAGTTCTAAGCAGAAAAACTTACAAAGTTGTGATCCATCATGTAATTTGGACTGACTCAGAGTTAGAGCTTCATGTTAAGTTCACTGTCTGAAACATGATGACTTAAGGAGAAGTCGGGCAACCTCGTTTCTTCGAACATCGACGTTCATTCAGGAAACCACAGCTGCTAGTTGCACTCACCACACGTTTGTCTCTTCACTTCCTTTAATAAGAGCAAATTTTCCATTATAAACACAGAGTCTAACAAAAGACTGGAGACTGTTTTGGTCATTTTCCTCAGAGTTTTGTTTTGTTGTTTTTCTGGTGATGAGCTTCAAACAGCAGCAGATTGAGACTCAAATAGATCCTAATAAAATCAGTGAAGCGGTTTGTCCAGGCTATTCATTCAACTGCTCATGTCATCCATCAGGGAGTTACTTTAATATCATTACATTGTTTGCTTTAAGTAAATGTGGAAATTGAATATGAATTCATTTTGTTTTTCTTTTCTTTTTTATTTCTTAATACCTAACTGCTGTACCTGTACTGCCCATATCTCTGTAGATATACTGTATAGCCACTCAAAACTGATGTTCAGATAAGAGGGTGGGAGCTGCCTGTTTTCTTTCTCCACTATAATTCCTGACAATTTTATTAGTTTGGGCGACCTTTACATGTAGGTTGTTGGGATCACAGCAGAGATAGAATAGAGGGGACATGGTGTTTGTTAAATGTCCGAATGGCCCAGGTGGAAGAAGCTGTTAGTGAATCTGGAGATGTGGGACCTGAGGTACCAACATACAACACTGTAAAAAATGACAGATGCCACCACAGAGTCAGAGAAGGTCTTCAAAAGCGCTCCCTGGACTCCAAATGACCTCAGCAACTGCGTTTTCTAAGGACAGCGCTAGCAAACATTCTCCACTTGCGAGTGAAAAAGAAAAAACACCACTTCCCTTTCTTATTCATGTTAAAGTGTACCATGTCCACCAATCAAAAAAATGATATGGCAACATGTGGCGTTTGGTTGTGAAG